ATTCTTTATTATGAAAGCCAAACTCATTATTTCTCCCCCTAAACTTACACACCCTTTATAAGTTTTTCAGTCAGATACATGATACAATGCTTTTCCAGTTTGCCACAAGTCCTTGGAATCATCTTTAATCCCTCCACGGGGACCTGCTACTCTGCAACAGCTCTTTACAGTGTCCTTAATTTTTGGTTCTATAATTTAAGTCAACTTTATTATTAATTGAACTAGAGGCCCGGTGCACAAAAATTTGTGCACTCAGGGTCCCTCAGCCTGGCCTGTGCCCTCTCGCAGTCTGGGACCCCTCAGGAGATAACGCCCTGCTGGCTTAGGCCTGCTCCCGGGTGGCAGAGGGCAGGCCCAATCCCTAGGTGCAGCCCCTGGTCACGCTCAGGGTAGGGCCGATTGGGGGGTTGGGGCACCGCCCCCGTCACACTCAAGGCAGGGTCGATGGGGAGGTTGCGGCGCCACCCCGTCACGCACAGAGGAGGGCCAATCCGGGGGTTGGGGCGCTGCCCCGTCACACACAGAGCAGGGCCCATCAGGGGGTTTGGGGCTCCTTACCCTGTCACGCACGGAGCAGGGTCGACCAGGGGGTTGGGGAGCTCCCCCCGTCACGCACAGAGCAGGGCCCATCAGGGGGTTAGGGAGCTCCCCCCTGTCACAAACAGAGCAGGGAGGATAGGGAGGTTGTGGCCCCGCCCCCTGTTACACACAGAGCTGCAGGGCGATCAGGGGGTTTGGGCGCTGCCCCTTGTCACGCTGATCCCGGTGCCGGGAGGCCTCGCGGCTCCGCTGATCCCGGTGCTGGGAGGCATATTACCCTTTTACTATATAGGGTAGAGGCCTGGTGCATGGGTGGGGCTGGCTGGTTTGCCCTGAAGGGTGTCCTGGATCAGGGTGGGGGTCCCCACTGGGGTTCCTGGCCAGCCTGGGTGAGGGGATGATGGCTGTTTGCAGCTGGTCACACACCCTTCAGGGTGGGGGTCCCCACTGGGGTGCCTGGCCAGCCTGGGTGAGGGGCTGAGGGCTGTTTGCAGCTGGTCACACACCCTTCAGGGTGGGGGTCCCCACTGGGGTGCCTGGCCAGTCTGGGTGAGGGGCTGAGGGCTGTTTTCAGGCTGGCGGGTGATGGAAGCTCCCAACCGCTCCTTTTTCTCTTTTTTTTTTGTTTTAATTCTGGGCCAGCTTTAGCTCTGAGGCTCCAGCTCTTAGGCCTCCGCTGCTGAAAGTAGGTATCTGGTTTGTTTCGGTTCAAAACAATGTATAACTCCAGCTCTGACTCCAGCTCTGAGATCCCAGCTCCCTGAAAGCTGGTTTCTGGGGGGTTTTTTTAGCTTCTGTATTTGTTAAAATGTTTCAAACTGCAAGCTCAGAGGCCTGCCAGGGGGCGGGGAACGTTGGTTTCCTCCATCACTGAAGCAAGCAAGCCTCATGTTAGTTTCAAGCTGCCTGGCTGCTGGCCGCCATCTTGGCTGACAGTTAATTTGCATACCGCCCTGATTAGCCAATGGGAAGGGTAGCGGTCGTACGCCAATTACCATGTTTCTCTTTTATTAGATAGGATACTTATAGGCTGTACCCTAATACTGGATAGTTCATGGCTTAGTATAACTTGCTATCTCAAGCACATATGGCATCTACTACTTCACAACAAACAGAAACTTCTCATAAGTCAACCCCAGCCAAAGGAAAGGGACTACATGAACCAGTACTTCCCTGTCCTAGGCTCAGCATCACCCTCCAACCTCTACATGGCTGCACAACCCTCTTGCCTCTAATATCATCTCCCTATTTCAACACCATTCTATTCTCCCTATTTTGTAATGAGGACAATCTCTTTGGACTTCTGCAAAGAAAAACTGTACTGTAAAACATGTCTCCCTTCTCACAGGCACTTCAAAGCAGACATGCAAATTTTAAAAAAATCAGCAACATACATCTGCAGTGAAGGTCCAAACTAGAATGTCTTCCAAATGCCAGTAGTCAAAAAGTGCCATAAATAGCTGAACAGTCATTGCTAAGAGTTTTCATATACATGTCAATGTGTATATCTATACTAATAGAGGAATATGCAAATTGCCCCGAACACTGTCACAGTAACGACCACCAGGCTGCCTGGAGCAACAAAGCCGGCATGGGGGTTAGTGAGGGACAACCAAATGACTGAACAGCAGGCTGCATGGGGTGACCAGGCCGGCAGGAAGATTAGTGAGGGACGACCAAACAACTGAACAGCAGGCTGCATGGGGTGATCAGGCCAGCAGGGGGGTTAGTGAGGGACAACCAAACGACTGAACAGCAGGCTGCATGGGGCGATCAGGCCGGCAGGGAAGCAGTGAGGGGCGACCAGGCTGGTGGGGGCGACCAGGCCAGCAGGTGGGGCAGTTGGGCACAACCAGGTCAGCAGGGGGGGGCAGTAGCAGTGACCAGGCTGGTAGGGGGGCAGTTAGACATGACCAGGTTGGCAGAGGGGCAGTAAGGGGCGACCAGTCCAGTAGGGGGGGGCGGTTGGGGGTGACCAGGCTGGCAGGGGAGGCAGTTAGGGGCAATCAGGCAGGCAGGCAGGTGAGCAGTTAGGAGCCAGCGGTCTAAACCGGCAGTTGGACATCCCCTGAGGGGTCCCTGATTGGAGAGGGTGCAGGCTGGGCTGAGGAGACCCCCCCCACACACATGAATTTTGTGCACTGGGCCTCTAGTATAATAAACAGAAACTGTCAAAAAGAGAGTATCATAATATTCTTTTAATATATTTTTATTGATTTCAGAGAGGAAGGGAGAGGGAGAGAAAGAAACATCAATGATGAAAGAGAATCATTGATTGGCTGCCTCCTGCACTCCTCACACTAGGGATCGAGCCCACAACCCAGGCATATGGCCTGACTGGGAATCGAACCGTGACCTCCTGGTTCATAGGTTGATACTCAATTACTGAGCCATGTTGGCCAGGCTGGGCCACAGTTTTTAAAATATATTTTTATTGATTTCAGAGAGGAAAGGAGAGGGAGAGAGAGAGACAGAAACATCAATGATGAGAGGGAATCATTGATCGGCTGCCTCCTGCACATCCCACACTGGGGATCAAGCTCACAACCTGGGCATGTGCCCTGACCGGGTATCAAACCATGGTCTCCTGGTTCATAGGTCAATTCTCAACTACTGAGCCATGCTAGCCGGGCTGGGCCACATTCTTTTTTAATTGGGCAGCATTTATTTCAATAAACTAAGTATGGTCTTTGGCCTGGAATAAACCAACATTTATTGTGTTCACAAAAGACAAGCTATATCTTTTTATAAACATGACTTCTAAATTTCTTGCAACAGTACACAGATTAAAACAGTAACTTTCTTTCATACTTGCTCAAATATACAATATACTAGGAATTATTTAATTATATATACACTCAGATCCAACCCTCTTAAAAAGAGAACAAATTTATGCATAAGTGATCAAACACACACCTATGCATAAGTAATCATACATTTTATAACCATTTTATAATTTTAAAAGGAATGCAAAATACATGGGTATGATTATTTTATATATAATGGTACAATAGAAATTATTATATCCATCTTTAACTATAACATGAGATTTTGTGGTTATCCATTTGTTTGCTCCTGAAGGGTAAATCTTACCAAAAGCATCAAATTCTCTATTTTGGGGTAATGGGGTGAAGATTTGAAGGTTTGATTCTGGCTGAAAGAAGAATATACTGTAACAAGTCTAATGACTAAACAGCTGCAGATTCTAAAAAGAGTTTTTATTACTCTGAGTGAGGCACTAATTTATGTTTAAATTTTCCATCCGATATCTTTTTAGGTGCATGAAAGGGAGAAAAAAATAATACTTAAAGAGCTGTTTTGTGAGTCCCCTCATTTAAGAAAGGGCAGTAAAAAGAGTTTTTTAGATGCAATCTCAGTTTTTAAAGTATCTCTTCAGACAAACCCTAAGCCATACAAGGTTAAGAAAACTACAGTTTACTTATCCTTGTAACCCAAAGTGCTCTCTCTACACATAGCCACTAGGAATCAGAGTTCACATTTAGAGTTGGTTTCCCAAGAGCATAGATCCCTGTTATCATCCACTCTCATTCTGGACCCATCTTGCTGGCACTAACAGTGTGCATTAACAGTGTGCAGTGCGAACCATTTCTTACTATAGTTAACAAGCATGTTTTAACAAACAAGTGGACAGATATATGGATACATTAAAAAAATATTCAACCAATAAATCTTTTTTTACATAAAAGACAGAACTTAGATTAGGTCAAAATTGTTATAGCTTTAACACTCCCATATTTTTTTAATTGAGGTATAATTGGCATACAACATTATATTAGTTTCAGATAATCATTACAACGTAATGATTCAATATTAGAACACATATCATCTAAAAGTTATTCTCTGAGTAAAACATGTTCACCACTGAGCAACAGCTGTGGAAACTTGAAATAACTTACCTGAATAAATGGTGATTATTATCATAGTCAAATAATTTATATAATTTGATTCATTCAAGGCTGTGCAAGGGTGATCAACTATAATCAATAATAACCATATACTATTCTCCCAAGCCCTATTTTATATCAAATACCTATCCACTATACCCTTCAAAATCTGGATTCAGACTCATAAAGTATTCTAAGTTATGTATTGGGTCTACATGAAAAATGCTAACTGAATGAAAGTGTTCATTGTTCTTAAGTACCTGAACATAAATTTATCACTACCTTGATTTCTTCTCTATCACCTCTTCTCATTAGGCAGCTTTTCACCTATACATTGGACAGGTGAAAAAATAGCACATGATTGTAAAGAACTAATGACTACCAAATCATGATAAAGCTTGTCCCAAAGTAATCTCCTTTCTCTGGGTTCACATATTAATTCTACTCAACAAGCATCATCATTATAGCCAGACAGCTTTAATTATATGCTCACATGCACAGAACACTACATTAATTTCAAAACAGTTAAAACACATTTTTTCTTCTTGTACTTGCCTTATGTCTGCATTTAAGTACAACTCCATAGGCTCCTATAATAAAAAGAAGTAAACAGTTAGAAGCAGTATACCTACTACAGCTCTTATAGAAATTGAAGTTCTACTATATTTACACTAGAGGCCCGGTGCATGAAATTTGTGCACTGGGGAGGGGTGTCCCTCAGCCCAGCCTGCGCCCTCTCACAATCCGGAACCCCTCGAGGGATGTCCAACTACCAATTAAGGCCCGATCCCAGCCTGGCCTGTGAGGATCTGGCCTAAACCGACAGTCGGACATCCCCTGAGTGATGTAGCAGTGCACCAAGTGGCAGGTGGCCAGGGAGGAACCAGAACCAGGGCCCAGCGCCACACTGCTCATGCTCATCCCAGCCCACTGTGCCTGCTGCTGCCACTTGGTAGTGCTGCTGTGGAGTCAGGAGAGGCTCCTGCCGCCGCCATGAGCCCAGTTTCTGACTGAGCAGCACTCCCCCTGTGGGAGCATACTGACTACCAAGGGGCAGCTCCTGCCTTGAGTATCTGCCCCTGGGTGGTCAGTGTGCATCATAGCAACTTGTTGACCAGTCATTCCAGTCATTCTGTCATAACAGTTGCTTAGGCTTTTATATATATAAATTGGTTATCAGTATATGTTATAATAATGATTCCTAAAATAACAATATTCTGCAGTGATAATGCAAAGAGCCACCTACAGAGCATGGATATTTATTATATATTTTTTTCATAAACCGAGAGTATAAGTAACTCATTTCCTCAACATGTACTTTTACAGGTTTCTCTTTTAAAGAAAATTTCACTTGAGACATGTTTAAATTTAAACTTAAAATATTCTAGAGACAAGATTTGGGCACAAGAACCTTGGGAGTAGATGAAAATTAATTCAAAAGATTCTAGGAAACTTAAAATTTAAGAGCTAATGATTTCTTAGCATGGAGCTTACCAAATATGTTATCTATCCTAGGAGACAATTAAGTCCTCTTCTAGGATACTGGAATATCTTTCCTGATTGGCAAAACAGTATAGGCCTCAGCATTTCAATTAATAACTAATCAAAGTTGATACATCTTTTGCCATAAATAATCAATTCAAGGGCACAAGCCACAAGCAGTTCAAGAATCTCTGGCCATTTATAGCCATGCACACCCACTTTGTTTGATATAGTTTGATGAAATTCATCATCATCTTTTGGGTTACTTATCCTGTTATCCAGCCAATAAACTACTTCCTTAGAGACAGAACACAGAGTAGACAGCAAGTTACCCAGAAAACTGAGGTTAAAGTTATACTGTGAACATCTAATTAGGAGAATCAGAAGGTAGATTCTGCTTGACAGTTTTAAATTTCCTTAATATATATTTGTATTTCTTAGCCAAAAAGCATCTGAGGTAGTTTATAAAAAAAAAACACAAAAAACATATAGCAATGTTTCTGGCTACAACTTAAACTGACATATTCTGATTTATATAACAGTCTTGTAGTTTTCGTTAATCTGAGCCAATCCCTGAGAAGATGATCACATATAAATATACAAAGAAACACAAGGTTAGGATCCAGAAAACTTAGGTTCAGAATCTGGAACATTCCAAATGTGTTATAGTCTATGAGATGGCCTTCTCCAGTCAATAGTTTATTGCATAAGTCTAACTGTAATACTTCTTTTTGGGGGGGGGGGGGGAACCAATAACAAATAAACAAAAAGGCAGGTATTATAAAACAGATAGTAGGTAAGATATGGAGAATAAATTTTATTTACATAATTAATATTAATGAAGAAAACGAAAAGGCGTTGACTGGTGAAGAAAGAAGGATCCATTCTCTTAATATGGTTTCAACTTCAGATCTTGAAGCAAACACCCAATGATCAGACTGTGCTTTTAATTGCTTTTATTTATTTTAATTTTTTATTTAAATTCTTTATTGCTGAAAGTATTACATGTGTCTCCACTTTCCTCCATTGACCTCTCCCTGCCAGCTCCCAACCCCCCCTCCCCACAGCACAGGCCCTCACCCCTCATACTGTCTGTGTCCATTGGTTACGCTTACCGTATATGCATGCATACAAGTACTTTGGTTGATCTCTTACTCCCTCCCCCCTCTCCCACCCTACCCTGCCTTCTCTCTGAGGTTTGACACTTAATATTAAAATCTAAAACAGCTTTTCTGTTCACATTGGTAAATTTTTAAAACTCCTTTTAAAATTTCAAATTTATTTGAAAATTCTGAAATATAAAATATTTGTAACATTTACTTTAAAGATATATGAAATTTTTGTAACATTTGCTTTAAAGAAACCATAATTATAGTCATTTATCTCATTAACAGAATCATTTATCAAAATCTCCATAAAGTTATCTTTAAGTCAAGAGCAAAAACTACTAAAAATGAAAAATCAAAAAAACTTATGAAAAATGAATTACCATATTTCATCTAATCAATGATGTCATTGAATATAAGCATAATTTTATGTACTACTAGGAAAGGAAAAATGCTGCCAATTAAACCATGACATGCTACTGATTATAACATACATCTGATTTCAAAGGCATCACAATATGACCAAATTGTGTGCCTCAGAATTTATAAAATGTGGTTTGTCATTCCCAGACAAATAGAAGTTATTTATTCATTTATTTACCATGTAGTAAGTAAAATTTAACTTATACAAATAAAATTAAAGTTACTGACAATAAGCCTAACTGATATAAAAATAAAATGTAACCAAAAAATTATTGACTAAAGAAACCATGGTTCCTAATGAAAGAATGAAATAGATCTTATAACATAGAAATCATACCTGAAACCTGTATGTTCATGTTGACCAATGTCAACCCAATAAATTAAATAAAAAAAGAAAAGAATGAAATTAAGGTAGCTTCAAGAAATTCCTTATTTATTAAACTTTAAGGGGTTTTTTAATGTTTTCAACTTTCAATTTGAGAATAAGACCCAATAGTTGAGAATAATTTTATTTTTAATATCTTGCTCTTAGGTTCATATCTAAATTGATGCAGATTAAATTAGTAGGACCTGAATTATTAGCTTTTTTTGGTGGTAGGTATAATTGTATATTGCTAAAAAAAAACCTCAAGAAATGCTAAACTTACCTTCACCTACAACCCCAAGGATCTCAAATTTATTCATCACATTACCAATGTTAGGAATCTTCATGAAGACAAACTCCTCTTTTGATGTGAGCCACAAAACATGGCATCAAAAAAGAACTTCTGAGAAAGTTGTCTAGTAAGTAGAACAAAAAAATGGCCGAAGGAAGAAATTCTCACAGGTTGGCAGGAACTTTCACATATTTCTTCTAATGTGAAGTATTAAATGATTCCCTGAAAGAACAAACAATTACAAGCCATAAGTTTTATATTTCAGTAATCAAATAAACTAGCCTATGTTTTTATACAGTTCTTTTAAAACCTTATTAATGTTTCACATACAAAAAAAAAGACATAATCATAGGAGGGAAGAACCCAAAATGGAACATAAATGAACAAATGTAGTTAACTGTATTTGAAATGAGTAATGTAAACACACTGAACAGGGCCAGAGGAAAAAAAATTAACCCTAGGTAATTCTTGAAAACAATATTTTAATACCATACTCTCCTTGAGCTTAGACAAAAAATAAATATAAATACATACTATATTCTACTTAGGTAGTTGTTTTACACAGAGATATGAAACTTCTTTATATGTATTCTAGGACTAAGCAAATAAGTATATGTATTGTGGATAATGAGAGTTTGGTTCCTTATTCTCATAAAAAGAAGTTACAAATATAAAAAGGGGGAAGGCCCTGGCTGACATGGTTCAGTGGTTAGAGCATCATCCCACACACCAAAGGGTCAGGGGTTCGATTCCCGGTCAAGGGCATGTACCTGGGTTGCAGGTTCAATCCCTGGCCCTAGTCCAGGCGCATGCAGGAGGCAACCAATCGATGTGTCTCTCTCATATCGATGTTTCTCTCTCTCCTTCCCTCCCTCCTTTCTACTCTCTCTGTAAAAATAATGGAAAATATATCCTCAGGTGAGGATTAAGAAAAAAAAAAAAAGGAAAGAAAGAACAGAAAAAAAGAAAAGAAAAGGGAGAAGGCTTGGAATTAGAATTAACCATATAAGCTCATTCTTAATATAGAGAGATGTAGAAATAGACATAAGTGTGTGTGTAAATATAATATAAAATATATATACACACATATATATTCCTTAGCTCTGTCTGCTGAGGGAGCCTGGAAGCAATGACACTCCAGTAGCCATGAACACAGCTAATGTGCCAATAAAAGGAACCAGGGTTCCTAGGAGAAATGTCTGATTTCCAGGCTACAGCAGAAAGTAAGGAAATGCTCAAGGAATAATGGGGGCATGTCTAAAGGAAACAGGAGTCAGCTTGAGGACTCCCACTGGTGAAATGAGGAACATTTGAGCAACAAAATAAATATAGTAGGTTATAATCCATAGAAGTATAAAAAAGTGCACCAATCCTTACTGACATAAATAAATGGGGGAGAAGAAAAAGCTTTTTCTTAGAGCATAATTCCAAATAATAAATTTGATGAAGAAATAAGAAAAATCACCATTTGGCAAACCGCCCTGACTATAATTATTTTGGGCAAGTATCATTAATACATGATAAAACTAGTGGTTGAAAATTTGATGGAAAACAGAGTATTACCCAGTCTCAAAGTAGCTCCCTATAAGATACCTTTCAATTACAAAGGGGAAAATAGTAATTTCATAGTAAAGAATCTTGCCAGATACTATTTAAAGTGATCAAAATGAACACTGCTAGTAATAGGACAAATCAACACCATATGCCTCCTGATAGGATGCATCACAACATACTCCTGTGGCATTCCTTCTAAAAAGGTAAAACCTAAATCTAAGCAGAGACAGCAGCAGACAAGCCCAAACTAAGGACATTCTACTAAACTAGAGGCCCAGTGCACAAATTTGTGAACATTGAAAGGAAATTAATTAGAAGAAATATTTTAGAGGCTGGAGAAAGGCTGCAGGAGGTTGGCTCCAGGGTGTGTCTGGCCCATTTCACCCAGTCCTGATCGGCCGGACTCCAGCAGCAAGCTAACCTACCAATCGGAGTGTCTGCCCCTGGGTGGTCAGCGCACGTCATAGCGACTGGTCGAGCAGTCGACGAACCATCAAACACTTAGCATATTAGGCTTTTATATATACAGATAACTGGCCTGTATTCTTTAAAAATGTCTATGTGATGAAAGACAAAGAATGACTGAGGAACTGTTCCAGAAAAAAAAAATTAAGAGTCATGAAAACTAAATATAATGCATTATCTTGGATTGGAATTTGGACAAGAAAAAAATTGCTATAAAGGGTAACTGATAACATTTAAATGTCTACAGATTATATAATATTATGTCAATGATTATTTTGATAATAGTATAGTGGTTATGTAAAACAATGCTCTTGTTTTAAGAAATTATGAAATCGGTGAAAGTGGTCAAAAGGTACAAACTTCTAGTTAAAAAAGAAATAAGTCCTAGGGATGTAATGTACAGCATTGTGCCTATAGCTAGTACACTGATGGTAGGAATATAAACTGAGACAAGCTTTCTAAGGAGTAATATGGCCATAATTAACAGCTTTAAAAATGTTCATATCATGGATAAAAGTATCTGACAAAAACCTACAACATCATTTTTAAATGTGAAATATTAGACACAGTCCTTTTAAAAATTAAGAGCCTAACAAAATGTCTTACAATTAATACTTATTAATATTATCATTAAACATTATCCTGGTGGGTTCTTGCCAGCTCAGTAAAATAAGAAAAAAACAAATGAATAAAATATATAGCATTGGAAAGAGGGAAACACAATAGTATTTACAGATATTATTATCTACATAGAAAATTCAGAGGAATTTAAAAATTATTATAAGTGTTAGCAAGGTAGCTAAATATAAATTTAATATACAAATAACAGCTGTGTAAACATCAACAAGAAACAAAATTTAAGTTTTTAAAATCACATTTACAACAAAAAAAGTGGTTTAGGATTTAACATAAAATATATTCAAGGCCTTTATTCAAATATATATATATATATATATATATATATATATATAACCAAAATAAATGGAGTTATCCTAATTTTAAGCTAGGAAGAATCAATACTCTCCATATTAACCTACATAGTCAATGCAATCTCAATAAAAATCCCAGGGTTTTCTAAAATATATGTGAAAACACAGAGTTCCAAGTACAGTCCACACCCGCCTGAGAAGAAAAGTAAGAAGGCTCAGCCTTGAGGTTATGATCTGGCAGTATGCCCTACCTAATATATTGAGGGTTAGAACTGAGCTACAGAAGGTAAGAAGGGATGCTCCTGGCACAGATATAGACAAATTAGCCAATGAAACTGATGTGAGCACCCAGCAGCAGACTATACTGACTTTAATATCCCTACAGCTCCACTGTCAACTCCCACTGAATTCAGTTTGTTTTCTACACAAAAGTCTTTAGGATAAGTCAGATCATGTCACTTCTCTGCTCAAAACTTTCCAATGGTCTCCCTTATCATTAAGAGTGTAAGTCCAAGTCCACATAAGCCACAAGGCCTTAACCTGCCCTCCTCTGACAGCATCTGCGACTAGTTCTCTCTTGGTTTGCTACACTCCAGCCACACATATAACAAGAAAGTCAGAGTTGTTCCTAATCCTAAGTATCTCTTTATCACTCTAACATTTATTGTAGGTCAGATTCTTATTAACTGATTTTTCATTCAATATTTACCAAAAAAAAACCCACTTTTGAAAAAAGGCAAGAGAAAGCAGACGCTATTATTTTAGAAACATTTAATGTAATGAAATCATAAATTTTAAAAGGTGACTGGGATATTTAGATAAAATGATGTCAATTTCAGAAGAAATTAATAAATATTTTATTCATTCATTTATTAAACAAACAATTACTGACTGACTAACATGTTTCAGGAAATAGATAAATAAGACACACAAGACAGTAGTGAACAATATATGCCCTCATGGAGATTTAGATTTTGCTGAGGAAGGAAAAATGTAAGAATATTATCAGAGCCTACCCAGTTTTGCTCAGTGGATAGAGCGTCGGCCTGTGGACTGAAGGGTCCCAAGTTCGATTCCGGTCAAGGGCATGTACCTTGGTTGCGGGCACATCCCCAGTGGGAGGTGTGCAGGAGGCAGCAGATCGATGTTTCTCTCTCATTGATGTTTCTGGCTCTCTATCTCTCTCCCTTCCTCTCTGTAAAGAATCAAATATATATAAGAATATTACCAGATACTGGTACATGTTATAAAAGGGAAAGAAGGAGTGATTATTCAAAGAGGTCTTTCTAAAAAGATGACATCTGAGGTAAAAATATCCATAACAAGGTGCTACCCATATGAAAATCAAAGTCAGTCACATTCCAGGTAAAAGACAGAATACTTGAGAATGAATCATTCTTTCATTTTCTGTGACTGATTTGGAAGAACACCCAGGAAACATGTAAATATTCCATTCTCTGCCAATAATGGTATATTTCAAAGGAAACTAGAGATAAAGATTAAATCATTCCCACTAAGAAGATTCAGCACCCCAAAAGTTCTGTATGTAAGTATATGTAAAGAACATTTGGTCCCTGTGGAAATCAAAACTGAATAATGAAAACTGGGAATCAGAATTTAAATTTGTGAGTAGATACACAATATAGGTGTCAAGAACAGTTTTTTAAATACTGATATCCACACAGAGGGAAAAAAAAATATGCCAAATTGAATTTAACTATGTAAACAAAAAGGGGGCAACGTAGTAGAGCCCACAAGCTTAGGGAGCTACTTGGCAGGTCTGACAAGCTCAGGGACTGAAAGTCATCCCAGGCCTATAGTTTCCTTAGCAAAAGTCAATCTTTACCTTCAGTGAGCCTCGCCCATTGTTCTTATATATCTAGAATAACATATCTTTGAATGATTTTCTTTTCCAGACCCCTGGAAGGCACAACCACTGGCACCACAGCACAAGACTACAAGACTCCTCTTTGTTACATCACATCTCTAAGTACTGTAAATGTTAACTGTCCTGTACCCACCAATATAAAATAAATGTTTCTCCATTTTGCTTTTTATCCAATCACAGATATTTCCCCACTTTGCTTTATTCCACCTCCTTAATCTACCACCAATGGATTCCATGTAACCCCTTTATGTCTTCTTCTTTGATTCTAAGTGTATAAAATGAACTGCAAAACTACCATTATCTGGAGCATTTTCTCAATCTGTTGAGATCTTGCTTGTAAGCATGTACTCAAAATTTTGGCTCAAATAAATTCATATAAAACTTTT